AACCTACAGATGATCACCGGGCCTCTTCTTGCTATTTGTCCCAGGGGTAAATATTGCTAGTCAGTGCAGCCTTTATCAATGATGACAGCATGTTCAAATTAGAAAATAATTAATCATTCATAGTACTCATGGCTCTGCATCTTAAAATCCTAACTTACATGAGCAGGATTGCACCTTGGGGAATTTCCTTCAAGTCCCAGCTCTTTCACTTGGTTTTCCCCACCCAGAATTGCCCATGTAATGTTTTATAATACAGTAATAATGAGCGAGTATTTCTGTGGCACCTTAAGGTTTTCAAAGTGCTTTACACATATTATCTCGTGAAATCATCACGAGGCGAGAAGGCAGATGCTATTGTTATCTCCATTTTATAGTTAAGCAAAGTGAGGCAGACAAAGGTTAAGTGACTTGCAGAGTCTGTAAGTATCCGAGGGCTGATTTGAACTCAGGTCTTTCTTGACTCCAGACTGAGCTCCACGCATAGGACCACCCAGCAGAAATACCTCTTGCCCGGGTCTCCCCAGAGAGGAGTAGAGGATGCCCAGATACTATACAAGCACTGAAGGTAACAAGGCATGCCCTAGGTACAGGACAGACTTTATTCCCCCCACCCCCTCAAATGCAGAAAATATATAAAAAGTCTCACACTAACATAAAACCTAACAACTGAATTCAATTCCTCCTTTGCTGAATCTGTGTCCAGCCCCAGGGGTGCTCGGGTCCTCTGGCCTGACAGTCCTTCCATGTGGTTTGGACTGCCCACGGAGGTGAAATCAAAGTGGCCTTGCATTCTGCTGAGTCCTTCCTTTCATCCCATCGGTGTATACAGGCAGCCAGCATCTCTCAGCTTAGATTCTCCCAGAGGGGAGCACATTTGTGGGTGTGTTGCCTGAGTAGCTCACCGTAAGAGCAGGGGCAAAGTCCGGGTCTTTCACGGCTTAGCCTGGCAAGTCCCGGCAGCTTTGGGGACCATCAGCCTGACCCTCTTCTCCTCTAAAGAGGCTGCCACTGCTCCAAAAATCCCCCTTCTGTCTCTGGAAGGCCACATTCTGGAACTCCAGGAGTTGGACAGTCTAAGGCTGAAGTTCCTTCTTCTATGAGAAGACTTGGTTCTGGAATCAGATGTTACCCAGGAAATTCGCTTCTCTTGGAGTCTAAACTCCTAGTTATTTAACTTAGGGTTGCCAGAGGCAACTCCCGAGGCTGCTGGCACCTGGGAAATATCCCTTTTGCCTCTCAAAAGCTGCCTCCCAGCTCTGGGTTCCAGTAATCTCTCCCTCTCCATCCGGGAAGCTCAGGGCCTGAACCATGTGGTCCTCCTCTCCAGGGCTGCCATCGGGTGGGGAGCACACTGCCTCCACCTCTGCAGGGGTCAGCCCAGACACTCGTCATCCACTAGCTCCCAAGAGTCCACCACTGTCTCACTACTCGCTGCAGCTAAACGGGTCACAGTCAGGAGACGGGAGAGGCAAGGCTGGAATGGGAGTCCTCCTGACCCCCTGTTGGCACTCCATCCCCTCATAATAGAGGTGGGACAGGCCACATTCCTGGGCCTCTCTGAACCACGCCGGCTTTCAGGTGTTTCTGCACTGACTGCCTTTGGGAGAGCACGTTTTTACTATGTGTTTACTATGCAGAAGCAAAGCTCATTCCTTCGCTGTTGCCATAGATACAAACGACGGGGTTGCACGGTGACACCTTCGATTAGAATCCCGCCTCCTGGATACTGAGCATTCTTTTTTCACCTGCTGGAGGGCTTTCTTAAAGCACCACTTCTGCTCGGCATCATCGTGCCCCAGTGCACTATGCATCAACCTGAGAATGCAGGCCTGTGCCAGACATACGAAGAGTTGGGACTGACCCCGAGCACCAAGAACCCTTGACATCCTGGAGCGTTCCCAGGGGTCCCTATCAGACGGCTGGTGTGAGCACGTGCAGTCTGGCTCAGGAGAAGGTCTTCGTACATCAGCAAATGAGGAGGTGACTGAATGGCCCATCCGTGTGTCTGCCGACACTGACTTCTGCTAAGTCCTACCTGCTTCTCTCTGGAGTCTCCTGTGGTCTCAGTCAGCTTTTCCCCGGGAGCCCCAGCCTGTGATCTATGTCGTGGGGCACCGTATGCCCTCATACACGTCCTATGCCGCTGCCGAGTCTTTCAATATTTAGTAAAGGAAAGAGGGAATCATCAGCTCTCCGAGTGAGATTCCCAGTTGATGAATGATATACCACTCACGCCCATCAGAAATGCACCAGGGCGTGGCACCCTTAAAAGCCAAGGAGATGTAATGGACACGCTTGTGACATGTGAGGGCCCTGCTGCTCCAGGCAAGGTGTTTAACCTCTCTGAGTCTTCAGCAACTTCATAAGAGTCTAAAGTGACAGATACGATGTAATAACAGCCAACACTTAGATACACCTACTGTGTGCTAGGCACTATACCAAGCACTTAATTATCATTTCACTTGATCCTCATAACCACCCTGGGAGGTGGATGCTATTATTACCCCCATTTTACAGATGAGGAAACTCAGGCAGACAGAGGTGACGTGTCACACAGCTAGTAAGTGTCTGAGGCCAAATTTGAACTCATCTTCCTGTCTCCAGGCCCAGCAACGTAGCACCACCTGGCTGCCTCACCATCTATCTATTGCTCTGTAAAGAGATAGAAAGGAGAGACAGTGAGAGACAGAGAGATGATGGAGACAGAGAAAGAAATGACAGATCTATGACAGACAGAAGACAGATTAGATAGATAAGTAAATAGATAAAGGCATATATATATTATTTGCTTGATTTGAAAAAGCCCTGGATAAAGCACAATTGGAGTCTGGAGATCTGGGTTCAATAATTGCCTCAGTGACAGTGCATCCCTGGGCAAATCACTTAAACTTCTCTGGGCCTCAGTTTCCTCATCTGTAAGATGGGGAGGTTGGACTTAATTACCTGTCAGGTCCGCCCCTGCCCCCCCCATTCTACGTTGATGTCCAGGGGATGCCACCCCACACGGATGGCTGGTGCTGAATTCATGAAATTGTAAACAGATGCCCAGAGTTTGGTGATGCTTTAGGATACCTATTTTTTTAATTGATCAGAAAAAGTGACCCCTCCCCACTTTGGTTCCTTTCTTCATTTTCAGCCTGTAGCCTTGCCCTCGTGAGGTGATGAGCACTGGTCAGTGCTGTTGCGGTCAAGGCCAAAGAGCACCAGGGAAAGGCCTCATAGGGAGCAGGAGACAAGGGTGGAGGGAAAACCACCCTGGGATGTGAGGAAGGCACATGCTCCTGCCTTTCATTTGCTCCTAGGAGCCCCCAGCGTTCACTGAGCTCAGCCAGAGTCGGGCTATGAGAGGACCCAGAAGTTCTTTTTGAAATGTATTAATTGTAAGCTAATTAAAGGATAAACATCTACAAAGGCCCTAAAAGGCCTGGGCTCTAAAAGGTGACTGTCCTGAGCACAAACATCTAATAACAAGGGCCTAAATCCTGCGGACACAGGAATGGGATTGCAAAGAATTCCATTAACCACAAGAGATGAGTGAGGTGCGATTTTTCCTGAGGCAGAAGACAGATTAGATGAGCCATCCCGGGCAAACGAGTGGTGTTGTGTAAATGACTTGGAATCCAAGCCGCTAAAGTTTTCCTGTAACACCCGGGTGAGAAGGACTGGAGTATCCTCAGAGCTTCACCTGTAGGCAGTGAGCATGACAAAACACCTACCATGCACCAGGTACTGTGTCAGGGGCTGGGGATTCAAAGACAAACCATTAAAATGAAACTTTCCTCCTTTCTACGTTACCTCACTTGAACTTCTCAACAACCACTCTGAGTAGGTACCTGGTTATTAAGATTTTCATTTTACAGGTGGAGAAACTGAGGCTCAGAAAGATGAAGGCACGTGCCAGGTTCACAGAGTTCACAGGGGTCAGAGGAGGGATTTGAAGCCAAAGGACCTGACTCCGGGGCTCAATCCTTTACTCCACTGCCTAAGTGGTGACCTACAGCCTGGTCACTAACGACTCCAAGATCAGCCCGGCACATAGTAGGTGCTTGTTCGGTCACTTTTCAGTCGTGTCCAGCTCTTCATGACCCCACTGGGGTGTTCTTGGCAAAGACACTAGAGCAGTTTGCGGTGTCCTCTCCAGCTCATTTTACAGATGAGGAAACTGAGGCAAACGGGGTGAAGTGACTTGCTCTGGGTCACACAGCTCGGAAGGATTTGAGGTCACATCTGAACTCAGGTCTTCCTGACTCCAGGTCTGGCACTCTGCGCACTATGGCGCCCCCTAGCTGCTCCACGTGGAAGGTATTTAATGCTTAGTGACTGCCTAGTGCCTGCCTGGTTCCCGTTTCCATGATCTTTAACTTCTCATACATTCAAACCCCCCAGATGCCAGTGTGGCAGGGAGGGGTCTCCTCTCGGTATCTAAAAGCACCGGGGGCTTCCTCACGTGGGCGGTGACACGCTGCGCTGAGGTGAATGACTGGAAGGTTGAATGAGCCGCTCCCCTAGACCGGGGATGGCTCCTGCAGGAGGTGGGATTTTAGCTCAGTCTTGATGAAAGTCAGGGAAAGTCAGCGCAAGGTGAAGGGACGGAGCATTCTACTCACAAGGGATAGCCAGTGCAGATGCCTGGAGACGGGAAATAGCAGCTGGCAAGCCCTTGCTACAAGTCCATCCTAGACAGACCTGCCTACTCCATGAACAAGCCGGTGCTTGGGACAGAGTAGGTGCTTAATAAATGTCTGCTGAACTGAAATTGGGTTGCAACGTGGCCCTCCGCACGTGCTGTGAGTAACCCCAGAGAAATCTCAGCATCTGCTGGCGTTCTCTGGGCCTGGGGCAGCCCTCCCACTACTGACAACTGTAAGACCACACCAGTACAAACTCATCCAGACTGGGTTTGGTCAGGCGGGGAGGGAGGGATGAGGCCAGAGGCTGGGCAATGGTCAAGATGCTGCTGGGACCTGCTCCTGGTCCCCAACAGCTTTTGGAACTCTTACCTCCTGCGTTTTCACGTGTGTGTAGCCATAGTGAGTCCGGAGCGGCCGCCTGTGTGCGGAGGAGAACGGAAGCCACTTGGCACCGGACCGTCCCAAACAGCCGAGCACCAAAGGGAGGTCCACTTCATGGAAGAGGCGCAGGACGAGCAGGAACAGAAACGCTACTAAGAAACTCAGGGCAATCACGGACTTCCTCTGGAAATTCAAAATAAAGAAGGCAAAATTAATAGTAATAATCATATATGTATATGTGTGATATATCTGTATGTCGATCAAGATGGATAGAGAGGTAACTAGACAGAGAGATGTAGATCACCTTAGGGCTCGCAAAGCGCTTTGCCCTCTGAACTCCTTGGATCCTTCCAACCGTCCTGGGAGAGAGGCGCCATTTTCATCCCCACTGTACAAGCTGCACACGGAGGCCCCTCCTAGTTCTAGCTGTGGGACGCCATGATGCTTTCCACGGGAATACAAGGTGGGGATGGACAGATACGAGGCAATTTGAGGAGAGAGACGGCACTGACCACCGGGGGCATCAAAGAAGGAGGAGGTGACAGATGTCAGAAGGGACAACAAGCCAGCCCAGACCCTGAAGGCAGGGGCAGAGCAGCCCACCCAAAGAACAGCTACGGACTCTCTCGATGCCCACGCGAGAGCCTCTTGTCCAACAAGCAGCTCCTCCAAGGACATCAGCTGGAATGGGCATTCCGGGTGACGTTTACCTGGAGCCCCAGAGTACTCAATGCCAGGCTCTGGTCCTTTTGTCGCTGCTAAGGCCGGCTTGGGCTCGGGCTACAAAGCCTTCTAGTGCCTTGCCGAATCCAGCGATGGCGAGCAGCCACACATAAATAATGTATACACGAGAGAAAATAAGTCAACCATTTTGAGAGAAACTTCAAACTTGAATGGGAATGACAGTCGTGAAAGCGCGCTCCCTGGTAATCCACGCCTGCCCTGCACGTTCCATCAAAGGGAGCTGAGTAATGAGGACGGGTGAGGCGCAGAGCCGCAGCAGGGACAGAGCGCGGCACTTCCTCCTCCTCCAGCCTGGCTGGGCTTTGATTTCCCCCAGACCAGACAGAGCTCCCCCTTCTCAAGCAGAGTTTTTGATCTGAGTTCTAGTTCTTTTCTTGGCCTTGGTGTGTGTGTGTGTGTGTGTGTGTGTGTGTGTGTGTGTGTGTGCACGCACACACACATTCGTGTACAATACAAACCAGAGTGCAGGCCACGAAAGTGCCACCACTACAGAGACACAACTACCCTAAAATGACATTTCCCAACTTCTAACCAATTGAGAAATGTGATTGTCATTTCTGTCCCGAGGGGGATGTGGTCTTTTGATGCCTGCCCCAGAGTGAAGAAAAGGGTGACGTCGTAGTTAAAAGAGACGATCGGCTGAGACACGGCGGCTGCCTCTTCAGACGGGGCCTCTCACACTGGCAGGGCCCTGGTGAAGATGGCCAAGGGCTTGTCCTTACTTCCAGGGAAAGATGACTCACATTAACCCCAGTACACTCACAGGTACAAACATATTTATAGCAGCTCTTTTTGGGGTGGCAAAGGATAGGAAATTGAGGGGATGCCCATCCACTGGGCAATGGCTGAGCAAGTTACGGTATGTGTATGTAATGGAATACTATTGTTCTTTAAGAAATGATGAGCAGGAGGATTTCAGAAAAACCTAGGAAGACCTACATGAACTGATGCTGAATGAAGTGAGGAGAACCAGGAGAGCACTGCACACAGCAACAGCAGCATTGTGTGATGATCAGCTATGATTGACTTAGCTCTTCTCAGCAATAGAACGATCCAAGATAATTCCAAAAGACTCACAGTGGAAAATGCTGTCCACCTCCAGAGAAAGAACTCTGGAGTCTGAATGCAGATGGGAGCATCATATTTTCCCTTTTTTTGTTGTTTTTTTCTTTCTCATAATTTTTCCCTTTTATTATGTTTCTTCTTTCACAACATGACTCAAGTGGAAATACGTTTAATATGACTATACATGTATAGCCTATATCAGATTACTTGCTGTCTTGGGAAGGGGGAAGGGGAGGGATGGAGAAAGGAGAAAATTTGGAACTCAAAATCTTATAAAAGTGAATGTTGAAAACTATCTTTACATGTAATTGGAAAAAATAAAATACTATTAAGTGGGAGAAAAAAAAAAGAAGTCAGGCCAGAGAGGGGAGGCCCTCAAGGCAGGGCGGCTTCCTCTCTTCTGTGTCCTGGGCCATGGACAGTCAGCTTGTGTTGGGCCTACAGGCCCCTTCTCAGAATCATAAAACGAAATATGTAGGCTTCCCATTATAGCGACATACGGTTATTCTTTTTTTTTTCAAGTTTACAGATTCCAGCTTAGAATCTTCTGCTTTAAGGAGCCTGGAAATTCATTTCTTCCTTCATCCATTCTTTCAACAGGTACCCACTAAGCACGTCCTCCATGCCTAACTACCTGGGGCCAGAATGAAATAGGAGGAGGGCTGATGGGTTCCTTTCCACAATTTTGAAGCTCTCTTACTGACTCCAAACTTCTCTCAGAAACAAAGCCTGATTCCTGCCAATATTCTACCAATGGTGTCATGGGGGCACCATAGCCTCCAAGGAGCTGACAGGGAGTATCCCATTCCCCCAGAATAGCAGAGGGATGGGGGGAAGGGTGGGTGTGAGCAGACCTAACACATAACAGATAACAGCCCCAAACTAGCACTGGAGGAAAGAACGTCAACGGGTCAGTTGCGTATGGAGGACAAGGGATGCCTGTTGGACGCTGAGCCCACCCTGCTAGGAGAGGAGAAATCAAGCGAGGCCCCTCATGTTGGGCAGACTCCGTATGGTGAACTCATGGGAGCACATGGATAGGAGTCATGTGGAATGGGCGCCACTGGGGAGAATTTCCAAACTGATGATTCAGAGTATTTGATTGTACATCAGACACTTTGCTAGGACCAGAGACTCCGAGACAAAAATGCAGCCTTCCCTCTACTTGGGGAGCTTTCCTTCTATTTTGGGATGGGGGGACAACATGCACCCAGATAAGTCAGCAGAAGATCTCTTCAGCAGCCATCTGTCCCCCCCAACCCAAAGCACCAACAAGGCCACATTCCCTCAACCCGGGAGTCACGGCCCCCCAAAGGCTCACACTCCAAAGTGCCAGGGCTTTACACTCCTCTCAAACTCGTGAAGATTAACTCTGAAAATCCTCTAACAGAAGCATGCCGCAGGACCCCGGCTCACCCATCCTGATCGCAGAGGCATGGGATCATCGGTTCAGGGCTGAAAGGAATTTTAGAGGCATCAAGCCCAAACCTTTTATTTTACAGATGAAGAAACTGAGGCTATGAGGCACTGAATGATTGTCCTAAAGCGACATAGCTTGTAAGCCAGGAGACAGGCCCCAACTTCAGGGCGAGCATTCTATCACCATGCCACTGAGCTGCCCACGAATGCCTCCATCTCCATGGTGTCACCTCCGTTCACTAGAAATAGGGCTCTGAACTCTAACTGCAAAGCTGGTCAGGTCAACACATGCCACCCTGGCATTTTCCTTACCCTGTCACACTTGTGTCTGTGCGTTATTGTTGTCTAGTCATTTTGTGTCCAACTCGGTGTGACCCCATTTGGGATTTTCTTGGCAGAGACACTGGAGTGGTTTGCCATTTCCTTTTCCAGCTCATTCCAGATAAGGGTGAAGTGACTTGCCCAGGGTCACACAACTAGTAAGTGTCTGAGTTCTTCCTGACTCCAGGCCCAGAGCTCTATCCGCCCAGCTGCCCCAGTCTACATACTCTCATCTATAGAAGGCACCATGGCATAGAAACAGTGTTAGACTTGGAATCCAGAAAACCTGGAGATACAGCCCATCTCTGACACCTGTTAACATAAGCATGAGTGAGACTCAACCTCTTGTAACCCCAGTTTTTTCATTTGTAAAAATACTAGCTCTACAGGGCACTGAGATGTTGCAGTGGATAGAGCACCAGGCCTGGAGTCAGGAGGACCTGAGTTCAAATCTGACCTCAGACCAGACTTGACACTTACTAGCTGTGTGACCCTGGGCAAGTCACTTAAACCTAATTGCCTCACCAAAAACATACAAAACACTAGCTCTAGAAGCTCAGAGTACAGTATGGTGGCCTGGCCTTGGAGTCAGGTTGGCCTGGGTTCAAGTGCTTCCTCTGACACAAAATGGGCATACGACCATGGACAATTCGATTAACCTCTCAGTGTGCCAGGCTACTCTTTAAGACCGAAAGTTACAGAGATGTTGCTGAGGAAGGTGCCACCCTAGGAGTTTCCCACACTGGTGAAGTGACAAGTCCAAACCAAAAAGAAAAAAAAACCCCAACCCAGAACCTTTCTCACATAGTCTCTGTGAATCTCCAATGAGATAATGAACGTAAAGTGCTTTACAAGCTATAAAGGGCTAAATAAATGTCAGTTACCATTACATCCACAAATACGAGGCTGTGCTTTGGAATTACAGAACCGAATGACAAGGAATTCATCATTCCCAAGGAGTAATTAATTAAGCGGCTTGTGTGAATTACAGAAACATAAGAGCCGATTTAGGGCTGGGAGGGATAGAGCAGTTGCCATCTTGCCCTGGAAGGCAGATGTTGGGAGAGATGGCTAAGGTCTCTGAGTCCAACCAGTCCCTGAGCACAAAAGCCCTCTCCACCAGGCTCCTGGAGCTTCTGCTACCAGAGGGAACACTCCACCACACTGGCACATTTCTGGCACCCCGTCTACCTTCACTTCTACCTTCTGTGGGGGTCCCAGTTCTGCCCTCAGAGGCTGAGCACAATAAGGCTGATCCCTCTTCCACCTGACAGTCATATACTTGGGACACATCTTCCCTAAGTGTCTTCTCTGGCAGGGCTCCCCCTCTCTCCAAATTACTTAGTGGCCATTTGGATCTACTTCTCATGTTTTCCTATCTGTGTATATAGGATGGATTTTCCCATTAAAAAGTAAGCTCCTTGAGGAGACAATCTGCTTCTGGGTTTTCCCGTTTAGTTGTCTGTTTGTTTTCCCTTTTTATGTGTAGAACCTCGGATGGTGTTGTACATGAGGTATTGGACTGAACCGACTATCTGTGAAATGAAATCTCCCCATTAGGACATCAGACACCCAAAGACAAACATCACGATAGCTGCCTTCCTGCCTTGATCCACTCAAACCTGATGTTGCTGTTGTTTTAATCAGGGGCTGAAATTCCAGGGATTGACACTGGCTCTCTCCTCCAGTTCTCATCTATAGACTTATCTGTTTACATAATGCTTTTCCCTTTCTTACATGTTGCCTCCCTACTTACCATGAGAAAATATCTATCTTTTTAATACTAATATTTTATGGATATTGCTTTATAGCAGCAATATGTGGAACA